ACTGCCACGTAAGAGTCCAGAGGAGAGCCACGAAGATGGTTAGGCGTCAAAGCTCCTTTTCTTATGCAACCCGCCTAGTAAATCTAAACCGCTTTCCTTCAAGTTACAGGCAACTTTGCGGGGATCTCTTGCAAGCCCTCCGCATTGTTAAGAGGTTGGACTGCAGTCTGGCCGTCGAGGACTTTTTGAATTTGCTACGACAATCAAACTCCGAGGACAACAGTTAAAACTGCGCACTCAGCAGGTAAGGCTGGTTGTGCGGAAGTTCTCCTTCTCTGTTCGAGTGGTCAAACTATGGAATGCCCTTCTCGCAGATGTTCTGATGTCACCATCTATACAAAGTTTTAAAAAGAATCTGGACATTTTTATGTTCCGAAATGACCAAGAGTGATGAGAAGTAGAGCTTACCCCTTGTAACTCGTTCTCTTTTTGTCCTACCATTAAGGGCGTGTTTGAACTATTTCAGCCCAGAACATTTATCTGTATACAGCACATTTTTGAAGTTGAAAATTGGGTACTCAAAGGCTTACGCCTATTTCCCTCAATAAACTGAACTGAACTGAGCCATCGCCTGTACTTTTCCAGTCGTTGATAATCTTTCTTCACTCGCGGTCGGCAAGCCTGAACTGCATACTCCTGGTCTGATACTTAAGGAGCTATCAAAGGAGCTGGCGAAGCCTCTTTCGACGCCCTTTGAGCTGTCAATGAGAACAGGAAGGCTGCCATCACAGTGGAAGACAGCTAACCTCGTTCCCTTACATAAAGGCGGTAGCAGGATGGCAGCAAGCTGTTTCAGGCCTATTAGCCTAACCTGCCTCTCGTGCAAAACGATGGAAGCTCTAGTAAAGAGTGCCATACAACAATTTTGTGAAGAAAATAACCTCTTGCAGGATTTCCAGCATGGCTTCCGGAGAAGACGTTCTTGCCTCTCAAATCTGCTAGCTTGTCTGGAGATCTGGACCAGGGCCCTAGAAGAGGGTTTTGAAGTTGATGTCGTGTACATCGATTTTCGCAAAGCCTTCGATACTGTCCCGCACCAACGCCTTCTTCACAAATTGAGCGCCATCGGCATCCGGGGAGATCTTCTGAACTGGATAGGGGCGTTTCTGGTTGGTCAGAAACAACGTGTTTGCATCGGTGATGATATGTCAGAATGGGTGAGCGTGACCAGTGGTGTGCCTCAAGGCTCAGTTCTGGGACCATTGCTATTCCTCCTTTATGTTAATGACAGCCTTCAGGAACTCGACTGTGACAAAATAATGTTTGCTGACGACGTTAAGCTCTGGCAAGTCATTAAGAGTCCTAACGACCAGAGATCCCTCCAAAACAATCTTCATCGACTGCAAGCGTGGTCGGAGAAATGGCTTCTAGACTTCAATGTGCAGAAGTGTGCCGTCCTCCATCTGCGTCCAACTAACTCTCATTCAAATCAGAGCCTGAGGACATATCATCTGAAAGATATAAGACTCCCCGCAGAATCTTCAAAGAAGGATCTCGGGGTTTGGATACAGAACAATTTGAAACCAACATTGCAGTGCCACAAGGCTGCAAAAAACGCAATGGGAGTGCTGCATGCAATCAAAAGGGCGTTCGTTACCTTTGACCAAGACCTTTTTGGGAGAGTTTACGGCACCTTCGTTCGGCCCCACTTAGAATATGGCATACAAGCATGGCGGCCATGGCTTGTAAAGGACAAAGCATGCCTCGAACGGGTGCAACGTAGGGCAACAAAGATGGTAAACGGTCTAAAAAACCAATCCTACACGGACAGACTGAATTGCCTTAATCTATTCCCTCTGTGTTACAGGCAGCAAAGAGGTGATCTAATCCTGGTTTACAAGATAATAAATGGCCTTGAGCATGGACTTAACTTTGAGGACATGTTTCAGTGGCACCTTTCACCCAATCTTCGTGATCACTCGATGAAGTTACGGACAACAATGTCCAGGCTGAACCTTCGTTCTGAATTTTTCACGCAAAGAGTAGTGGAGAAATGGAACGATCTCCCTCAGTCAGTCGTGGAGGCGACATCCCTGCAACTCTTCAAGAAACGCTTGGATGATTATTTGTGTCCCCTGTTTTCCCTCGACAGTCTGAATCTGAGCTAAACACCCCGGTTCCCCACATATTTTTTCTCTGTGACAATCCTACTCAAATGAATCAAGTACTATGTATATAGCGACCATTTTCATTGTTACTGTACAGTTATTTCTAACGAGTTGACATGTTATCAATAGGGTTTTCAAAGGCTTTGCCTATCATCCTTATCAAATAAACTGAATAAACTGAATAAACTGAGATCGGACGAATGCCTCATAGGTATTTTGGCAGATTTTGATTGATGCATGTTGACCTAACTTTGAAAAACTCGGCGCCGAGTCAGCGGCCTTCCTCTTATCCCAATTTCACAAAGTTTGTAGATAAGGCGTTTGTGTGGGACGCTGTCGAACTTCTTCTTGAGGTCCGTGTAGATGACATCGACCCTATCACCCTCGTCCAGTGCGCGAGCAGCTTAACAGTTTGTGAGAGGACCGACATGATTTCTAACGACACAGAGACAATTTGGCTGACTATAAGGGCACGGGGGTCTCCGTCCCTCGGAGTGGTAACTATCTACCGGCCCCCTCAGGTGGATCCGACTCAGATAATTGTCAACTGGAAAGCATCTAAGAGATCGCCAGCCGACATGACGTTGTTCTCATGGGGGATTTTAATGCACCCTGCATTCAGTGGTGCGATATGCATGTAAAGTGCTCGAAGAATGCCTTCGATTATCGTCTACTAAATACAACCCCAGAAGCTCTTTTCACGCAGCGTGCCTATCTCCAACTAGAGCACGTGGAGGACAACAGGCCAGTTGTCTGGACCTCGTCTTTACCAAAGATCCTGACAGTATAGACGAGGTATTCTACCCACCCCCTCTTAGCTGGGCACTCAAACACAACGAGTTAAGATTTGCAATACCATCTCCAACCCCACACGTGTGAGGAGTGGAGTCATTCAGGGTAGTGTACTCGGCCCGCTTTTATTTTGCCTTTTCGTTAATGATATACCCGATTTATTTCAGAATTGTAACCCTTTCATGTATGCCGATGATCTTAAATTTGCATACCGACATAAGCCAGCAGATCTTGACATCGTGCTTGAGCTCCTAAAGAGAGATCTACAGGCTTTCGCCCAGTGATGACGCACATGGCGCCTTTCTCTTTCTTGGCATAAGTGCTCAGTCATGATGGTTGGTGACGACAACCAACCTCAGCTAAATGTTGAAGGTCACTCCATAAATGTGCCCAGGGTTACTAAGGATCTGGGTTGTATCATACTTCAAGAGCCTCAATTAATCAGAGCACTGTGCATCGATAGTCTCCAAAGCACGTAGAACGACCGGGTTTATCCTCCGAAACTCTAAAACTAGGGAAATTAGAACGCGCCTTTACAACACGTATGTTAGGCCAGGTCTAGAATACTGTTCGTTTTCATTTAGCCTCATGCGCGCTACTAAGCGGAGAAAACAAAGAATCCATTGGAAGCTTTTTTACCAAGAGAATTTTAACCCCAGAACACCGACATTTGTCTTACCAAGAACGTTGCCGGCTTGCGGGCCTTAATCCTTTATGGTTCCTTAGATTACAAAAGGGACTATTTTTGCTATTTAAACTCTTATATAATCACACATTTAACCCACTCACTTCTTTAAGACATCATATCCACCCACAACGTAACAGTCACCGTGAGGTCCTCTTATTTCTGCCTCTGGCACGTGCTGTTAAATATCGTCGGTTCTACTCTGTAAATGCAATTGCTATTTGGAATAAACTACCAATGAGTGTGAAAACTCTGCAAAATTATCCTTCATTTAAGAGAACTATTGCTCGCTTATTTCATTCACAAAAGCTTCCTCAAATTTTGGGTTCTGAATCCACTGATCGACTCAACCGTAGCGATGGCCGGTCTCACCAGCTGTTCCTCAACGCCTCTACTGTGACTATCCCCAACTTCATGCAAGGAATTGACGTCCGATAATCTCCGATACCGTGTAACCCCCTCCCCCCTTTCTTGACGGTCGAAAATCTATCACCAGCAGTTTTTTTCTTCTGAACCCTCCAAACCATAAATCCCCCATTAACTATATTTTTATTCCTCAGGAGTTTTTTTTTTCACTGCCGTCCTCGGTCGCGCTCCCCACCAACACCACGACTGGTTCGACAACAACGACGCTGCCATCAGCAATCTGCTCGCCGAAAGGAACCGCATACACAGAGCCTACGTAGACCACCCCACTGATGCCACCAAAGATGTCTTCTACCGCAGTCGCCGCCAGCTTCAGCAACGACTGCGCGAGATGCAGGACGCCTGGACTTCTCGCAAAGCTGAGGAGATCTAAGGCTACGCAGACCGCAACGAATGGAATAGCTTCTTCTCTGCGATCAAAGCTGTCTACTGTCCGCCGACGAAGGGCACTGCTCCTCTCCTCAGCGCCGACGATAGGACTCTCCTTACTGAGAAGACGCAAATTCTACAGAGATGGGCCGAGCATTTCCAAGGCGTCCTCAACCGCCCCTCCGCCATCTCCGACGTCGCCATCGCCCGTTTGCCGCAAGTGGAGACAATCGTGGACCTCTATCTCCCGCCATCTCTCCAGGAAATCATCAAGGCCGTGCAGCAGCTCTCCAGCGGGACTGCACCCGGATCGGACGCAATCCCTGCTGACGTCTACAAGCACGGAGGTCCCCTACTGATGGATCACCTGACTGCGCTCTTCCAGGAGATGTGGCGCCAAGGTAAAGTCCCACAAGATTTCAAAGACGCAACCATCGTGCATCTCCACAAGCGAAAAGAAAACCGCCATGTCTGCGACAATCGCCGTGGCATCTCCTTGCTGAACATCGCCGGGAAGATCTTCGCTCGCATCCTTCTCAACCGCCCCGATGATCGTCTGCAACAGGGCCTTTCTGCCGGAAAGCCAATGCGACTTCCGTAGTCATCGCGGGACCACGGATATGTTTTTCGCCGCCCGTCAACTTCAGGAGAAGTGTCAGAAGATGCGGGCCCACCTGTATTCCACCTTCGTGGACCTGACGAAAGCCTTCTACACGGTGAATCGTGAAGGACCGTGGACGATCATGCAGAAATTCGGCTGTTCGGAACGATTCACTCAGATGGTACGTCAGCTGCACGACGGTATGATGGCGCGAGTCACGGACAACGAAGCTGTCTCAGAGGCATTCGCAGTGACCAACGCAAAGCAGCAGGGATGCGTGCTGGCGCCTACCCTATTTAGTCTTATGCTTTCTGCCATGCTGATGGACGCCTACCGTGATGAACGCCCCGGGATCCGCATCGCCTACATGACGGACGGTCACCTTCTGAAGCAACGGCGGATGCACTTCCAATCCCGCGTCTCCACAACCACCGTTCACGATCTTCTCTTCGCCAACGACTGCGCCCTGAATACCACCTCGGTAGAGGAGATGCAACGGAGCATGGATCTGTTCTCTGCCGCCTGCGAGAATTTCGGTCTGGTCATTAACACGCAGAAGACGGTGGTCATGCATCAACCGCCACCCAACACAGCCACTCCTCCCAACGCGCCGCAAATCAGCGTGAACGGAACGCAACTGCAAGTGGTGGAGTACTTCCCGTACCTGGGCAGCACCCTCTCCCTTAACGCCAAAATCGATGACGAAGTCGCCAACAGGATCTCGAAAGCTAGTCAAGCCTTCGGCCGCCTCCAAAGCACAGTCTGGAATCGTCACGGTCTCCAACTGAGCACGAAGCTGAAGATGTACAAGGCCGTCATCCTGCCGACGCTGCTGTATGGAGCGGAGACTTGGACAGTATACACAAAGCAGGCACGTCGACTGAAGCACTTTCATCTTAGTTGTCTCTGTCGCATCGTGAAGCTGAACTGGCAGGATCGATTCCCCGACACGGAAGTACCGGAACGAACGGGAATCCTCAGCATCTACGCCATACTGAGACAAATGCAGCTGCTGTTGAGCGGCCAACTGGTGCGCATGGACGACTAGCGACTACCCAAAAGACTCTTCTACGGAAACGTCGCCACTGGCTCTCGCCGCGAAGGAGGTCAAAGTAGTCGATACAAGGATACTCTGAAGTCCTACCTGAAGCATCTGCATATTAACCCGAAAAATTGGGAAGAGCTCGCCCTCGACCGCCGACCTGGAGGAGGAAAGTGAAGACAGGCGCTGCGATATATGAGGTCAACCCAATCGCCGCTGCCAAAGTGAAATGCGACGCGCGCAAATCACAGCCACGCACGGTCCGAAACGCCGAGGAACAACCGTTCCCAACGTGTCCTCGGTGTTAACGGACATTCCGGGCACGAATTGGACTCATTGGACACCTTCGGACAAATTGCACCTCCCATACCGCACTAACCGCCGTCCCCCCGCCCGCCTCTTCCTCATCCTCTCCGCCGCCAACTAAATATGACAATTCTTCTGAACCACCACTTCCGA